GGGGGGGGTGGGGGTGTGTGTGAGTGGCTGTGTGGTGCTTAGTTGCCGGCTGAGGTTAAACCACAACAACTTGAACACGTTCAGTGGAGAGCTACCACCAAGATGGCTGAGACTGGAGCATATATCCTGCTGAGGGAGCTAGGTTTGTTCAGTCTAAAGAGGAGAAGGTTTTGTGGGACTTAATAGCTTTCCCGTACCTATGAAGTGGTTACAGAGAAAGCAGACCCAGCCTCGTTACAGTGGTGCACAACAGGACAATGAGAAGCAATGATCATCAACGGAAACAGAGGAGGTTCTGTCTAAATATAAAGAAAAAACTCACTACGAGGATCATTAAGCACTAGGAGAGATTATTCAGAGAGGCTGTGGAATTTTCATCCTTGGAGGTTATTCAGGATGTGACTGGACAAAGCCCTAAGCAACCTGGTTCAAATTCAGTGTTGACTGATTTGAGCAGGAAGTTGCACTAGATGACCTCCTGAGGTCTCTTCCAACCTAAGTCAGCCCGATTCTATAAATTCAGGTCAGTGTAACTCTCAGAGGCTACCCTTTGTGTACTGCAGTCAGGAGGAACTTACTACAAACCCATTTCCGTAAGAGTTAAGTTACCCATCTTGTATGCTATGGTCTGGAATTCTCTCTCCTCCAGGTGTAATGGATAAAATGTAGGTTCTTACAGAGGGAAAGCTTAATTCCCTACCACCTACAATAACTTTTCGATCTTTATGAAATACCTATCCAACTCAAACACTGGAATGGAAAAGCAACAGCTGGATTTAAAAAAAAAAAAGTGAAGACTCCCATGGTTTATTTTCTTATTAATCCTCTGAATACACATGCTGTTATGAAACGGTGCAGCTCTTTGGTACAGTAAAAGGAATGAAGAAAAAAACACCCAACCATTTTGCATATGCAGACCATTTCCTATGTCCGCAAATTCTCTAGTAAAACTCTCCTTATTACAGTTATCTTCCTGAGCTTTCCAATTCCAAAATTTCTTCCAGATGCAGAAATAAATTGTTCATTTGCAACATTCTAATTTTCCATTCTGAAACTGTACGTTAGATTTATTATGGTACTTTTAAAAGGTAGAGGTAAGTGTAGTATTTTAAAAGTATGTTAAAACTATAGAAGGTTTAAACATATCCCTTTCAAATTGTAGTTTCCTAGAGAAAATGCTATTTATATGTAGAAGTAAAGAGTAAATGAAGCTTGGGTAAAGGCAGTAGGCAAAACTTAAAATCAAATGAGTTCAAATCTCATTACATTCATGTTGTAAAAAGTAACAGACCGAGAACTTTGAAAACCTCCAGCTTTTATGAGCCTAAGCCACAAGATTTTACAAGTTAAATTCCCTCGTCAGCAAAATAAGTTGTCATGTGTTCCTATAAGAAGCTGTAAAATCAAGTGCATGTTCAGTAATTAGACTTCTCAAATTAGACAGCAAATTAAAAGCCTGAATAATACTGAATAAAAGCCACACTAACAACACCCTGAAATCGCAGTCATTCAATGAGTTCCAAAGCCTACTTCTCTTACTTTAAAATGTATTTGTTCATTATCAGCTATTCTTTCAAACTGTAGTCAATAAAACCAGTTCTATAGTATTTATGGTTTGGAAAAAGTACAAAGCAAGTATTTTCTGTGAATTATCTAACATAACTGTGTTTATAAATATGATTTGCAATTAAAAAACTCATTATTTATAAAAAATTATCCAAAAATAATGTTCAAAATCACTTAAGAGAAGACCTAGCTGTAATAAATGTGTAGTAAAAACTGAGGGACGTTTTGACTTTTCAGTGACTTGCACAGTGTCATTATTGTAAAGATAAGGGATACCTCCAAATGCAAACAATTAGGACTGGTAACTATTTACAACAGAATAGGTGAGAAGACAGAGAATCAAGAAATGTTACAGTGAAGAGGTGAGACTGTCAACACCCTCCCACTCCCCCCAGAAAAACTGTAAAAAGTTTTATTCACATTTAGTGTAAAGAAGGACATTCATATAATTTTAAGGCATCTTCATATATTACTTTAAAAGTTCAATAATGATTAGGTTTAAAAAGCATTATGCTAACAAATTTCATTTCAAAGACAGATGTCACAACCAATTTCATGTAGTTAATTGGTAATAAATCACCAGCAACTAAATTGTAATGGCCTTCCAATTCTCAAAGAGACCATAGTTACCTGGTCTAAAAGATCTTCTACTTTTTTTTGCCATCCATCCCTTGCTGCATTTTTTTCACGTTCTTTCAGCTGCAATAGCTGAGTCATGGCTGCCTTCTTATCCTCTTCATGCTGAAGCCTCAGCTCTTCACGGAGCTTATTACATTCCTGTCTAAAAGCAAAGGTCAAATAACTAAAATGCAGCGGACCTTGTGCAAGAAGTGGAAAAGAATTAAGAACTCAGTAATAATTGGAAAGACTTAGATAATAGCAAAAATCTTTGTCATACATTTCGTTTGCTATTACATTTGTATGTAATACACACTTCATTTCTTATTTAAAGATCGAAAGAAAGAAAATTAATACTTGCCGAAGATTTTCCGTCCATTTTATTTCCAAGTCACGAGCCATTCTGTCAACTTTGAACTTTTCCTCTTCTCTCATGGCAGCAATCATTGCCTCATGCTGTTGTCTCTCCTGATCTAGTTCTCCCTGCAAACACAAACTTCACAATAGAGACTGATCAGCAGCAAAAAAGTATTTCAAACCTTAAATGAATGCATTTATAACAAAAACGTCAGTTACAATTGGCTCATAAAACTTGAACTATAACTTTTTCAGTGTGTAATTCCTAATTACACACAATTAATGCCTACACATCTGCTGATATTTCTTACTTGTGGAACAGAATTCTGCATTCCTATAAAAAGCTATAAAAGCAATTTTCCAGTAAGTCATTCTGGAATTAATCTTTTTGAATACTGTTACATTGAATCACAGAATAATTTATGTTGGAAAGAACCTCAAGAGGTCATCAAGTCCTGTTCAGTGCAGGACTAACTTCAGAATGAGAGCAGGTTGCCTAGGTTCTTGCAAGCATGTTTTGGACTTTTTTTTTTTTTTAAATCAGCACATATTCATTATTTGAATTTCAAAGCTTGAGATATCTGGGTTTGATACAAAGATATGTATCTTCTTTCTGTTTCTTGACTGGACTAACCTGGTAGAAACAGGCTTTCAGTCTGAACACAGAAAAAATTTATAATTCATATCAATTTCTGTTCAAATTTTACCACACTATAATAGTATTAGGTAATACCTAGAATCCATACTTACATGAATATTTTTCAGCAGTGCTTGCTTCGTTCATGAGAAGCAAACATGGCCATCTAAACTTAAATTAAGACCTTTTAAAGTGAGAATTTTTCTGTAGGATATTTTCATTTATGTATTTTAAAATCTGTTAAGATAAATGTTATTGCCAATAACCTGCTATATATGAATATTCAAATGTTAGAATAGGTAAAGAGAGAAGAATGCAGTAGTTCATATGGACCCTTAGAGAAATAACAAAAAATACAGAGGAAGTTATAAACTGTAACAGGGTGCACATCTAATGACCAGAGCTGAAAGAAATTAAAAAAAAAAAACAAACCAAACCAAAACAAACAACCCCAACAATATCCTGTTTCAGGCTGTTTTTGTTAAGAAAATAACACCAGTATGAAGACAGATTCAGGGAATGTTTTTTTTAATATTTGCTGCTCTACTTCACAATTGCTGTGATCTTGTAAATGTACATTGTTTACTGAAGAAAGAAAAAGGAAAGGTTATGGTTAGTATTAAAGTCAATGAGCTATTGACAGATTAGCTGACAGTTCCAGTTCCATTTAAGCCAACTAAAATGGCAATATATTTGTGCTTAGAAAAATCAATTGCTTCAATTGTATGAAGTCATCATGTTTTCTGGATGATAGTCTGCTATCTTTCAAGATATCATAGCATATATCTTTAAACTGTTCTTAAGCATCTTCTGAAATTCTAAATTTGAGCCTGAAATGAAGACTGTGCCCATTATTTGAGGAAAACATGGTATGCATGCATATTAAAAAAACAAAACAAAAAAAACCCACCACAAAAAACCTAAAAAGGTTTCAATGAATTCTAGAGCTAGTAAGCTCTGGATCTTGTTTTGCACCAAGACATGAAACTGTCTGGAATAGCACTGGTGTAACAATATGAAAATTCTGTTAAGCCTCCGAAAAATCCGACTCTGGGTATATTTTGTACAGACATACTTTGGAAGCTACAATTTATATTAACCACAGAAAGATGTGCTTGCAGCATCTTCTCCCTGCTTGAAATTAAAAGAGAAATCTCTCTTTTAATGAAGCCATATGAAGCTCCTTCAATAATGTGTACACCATAACACTTCTTGCCATTTTAAAAACAAGACCATAATCACTGTGACTGTACTTTGCACGATTTATTCTCCAACGTTATGGTTACCTCAACACTATACAATGAATCTGTGGTCTCTCGCAGTCTTGCTCTAGTTAATTCTAGTTCTTTCTGGAGTATTTCCTGAGTTTCTTGAAGACTGGAGATATGTCCTTCTGCAGTACCAAGGCCTTGTTCACTTTTTCGTACTAGGTCTTGCAGACGACACACCTACGACATGCAAAAAAAAAAAAGTAATTTATATCATTATTACTAATGGCAGCCAAGTCATCCTGGTTTCATTTTGTTCCAGTGATTTCTAATTCCAGCCTAGACAAATTTTTATTCGCACAGCCTGTTCTCCTTTAATATCGCTTACTGTACATTAAAAAACAAATTCCTGTAATATTATAAAATCAAACAGATTGAATTAAATGATTTTTACAAGAAAAAAATCCAACGTATATTTGAAGTATTTTGCAAGGAAAGAGGTTACATAAAAGTTCTGAAATTATGTGTAATTCTACTCTGAGAAAGTATGTTTTATGCAAATTAAAATAATGAGAACCACTATTTCAAATACATAAACTCTAATCTAATGGATAAATTAACTTGTGCTAGGGTACATGTTTCTTCTAATGGACAAATTAACTTGTGCTAGAGCATACATTTCTCTGTCTTCAGATTGCTAACTGTCCATAAATTAGCCCGTTTAAAGCTCAATCTAATATCTGTAGAGTGTAATGTGATTACTTCCCTAACTGCTATGTATACTTTTCTCTGCCTGTTTGTGTTTCAGCTCCCCATCTGTAAAACGATGATACTTCTTTGCTTCAAGTAAGAATATTAGAGATTGAACATTGTTCACCAGCTATAGGAAAGGAAAAACTTTTTAAATATGTAGGCTGGAAACACAGAATAAAGGGAGGCAGGGGGGACCAAAGAACAGCAGCTAACGGGAACTGAAGTTTTTGCAGAAGTAATAGTCTATGCCATTGCCTTTGTATGTTGAGATAAATTCATTCACAATGGGACAAGTGTCCCAAGAAAAGACTAGCCTTTGGTTTGCAGGTATGAACAGGTAACAGTTATAACTACTCTTTCTGTCTGTTAGCATAATTATATGCAAATACTGTTAATGACATACACAGACAGATACACACACACACCCCCCCTCCCAGAACTCTCTCCCTCTGTATGCAACCCATGGAGTGTTTAAAAAGAGGGACTCCTCCTTTCCTCTCAGCAAGGAATCCCAAATCTCTTCGGCGTGACAGATCTCAGAAAAACTACTGTAACCTTGAGCACTTGTCTATGTGCTCCTTTGCATTATATACAACTAGTAATTCCCTACAAAGCACCACTACCTGAAGGAGTACCCCCACATGAAAAACTGCCCCTAAAACTGTATTGATATCCTCAAAGTGCACCACTGCCTATGTATCTGGTAGTAGCACACTGCTTGCATGAAACATGAACAGCAGTCCTGTAGATCTAAAGGATATGGAA